ATTCTTGCTCGAGCAAAAATTAAGATTTTTCCCCTTATAAGATCAATACAAAATAGCTGACTCCATTTTTTCAACTAATTAAAAAAATAACTGCTTTTAAGGTTATGTTTAATTTATTAGTAGAGATTTCCTGATGATCAAATCAAATACAATATCTGTACTAATATTATAAAGAGGAAAGATTTGTATTTTTATATGTATTAAAACAACTTAAAAACTGAGCTTATTTCCCAAATTTTTGCACCAGATACATTATCAGTGAGTAACATAGGCAATTTTTTTAATATTTATTTCACGCGGGCGAAGTCGCAGGCAACAGCCTGTCTTTCATATAAAAATGGAATTATATGTTTTTTAATGTTTAGTTACGTGAAGAAGACCTCCCAATGGAATTGCAAGAGCAGAATTGGTTCAGTGCGGCGTCTGCTCTGCGCGTGTACGGACAATACCTCAATTTGGACAGAGACCATAATGGAATGCTCAGTCTTAATGAATTAGCAGGGTAAATATTTTTTTACCTTTATAGAAATAACAGATATAAGATTTATCAAAAATAAATCCAAATTAAATATTTTTCTTGAAAATTTCAATGACAACAATATTTTAATCATAACAATATTTTAATGAAAACAATATTTTAATGGCATCAAATTCTTTTCCTTGACTTAAAAACTGATTTAATTGTACTATTGAAGACAAGTCATATTTTTAACAGGACTATAAAAATGCAGTTTTAGAATATTAATGATTTTAATTAATAGGGTTTTTTTACATATATGAATATATTTATTTTGTGTACTTCTGTGTATCCTGAGTAATTCATTAGATTTTTGCAAAGAGGAAAGATTTGTATTTTTATATATATTGAAATAACTTAAGAACTACTGGGCCGATATCAAAAATTATCAGCAACCAACACAGGTTGTGTTATTTACTATTTTTAATTCCACATGAACGAAGTCGCAAGGAACAACTAGTAGTTTTATATATTTTTTTTCTATCCTAGATATGGTTCAGGTACACTGACACGTGCGTTCCTACAGCGTGTATTCCAACAATGCCTTACATATGATGGGGAAATGGATTACAAGACCTATCTGGATCTAGTCCTAGCTCTGGAGAACAGGAAGCAGCCTGCAGCACTCGCGTACCTCTTTAGAGTACTAGATATCAACTCGCAAGGGTATCTTGATGCGTTTACTTTGAATTATTTCTTTAAGGTGAGTTTTTTAACTTTAAAAAGGATTTAACTCCTAGTTTTTTTTAGGTAATACAGTTTGTTATTTTTTATTGTAATATATGTGTTTTAATTTTTTGGTGATTTATTTAATTGTGATCGTATTTTAACCACTAACCAATGTTTTCTTTTTTTCTGTACTTATATTGCAGTATTGTGTAATTCTAGAACAAATGTCTCAACAAATATTAAATTTTGATTTTCAAATAACATTTTTTAATGACTTTTTCTAATAAACATTTTATGCTTTTGGTTTTCCTTTTTTAAGGGTCAATTAATTATGACCGAATTTAAATAATTACCATTGTTTTTTCTTTTTGGTTATTTACAGTATAATGTTATTCTAGATCAAATTTGTAAAGGCCAAGTTTTTTAACTTAGACATATATCTATTTTAAGTACTCTACCATTGTTTAGATAAATGCATTTTATTCCTTTATTTTAAGATTTAAGGAAATTATTTTGTCAATACTAATAAAAAAAATTACCACACTATTAGAAACAAGTAGATTTAAAATCCTCGTAAGGTTTAATTGTTATCCATCCATCCATTTATTGTTATTTGTATTTACCTTTCTAGGCAATACAAGAGCAGATGGTAGCGCACGGCGCTGAACCCGTCAACTTCGACGACGTGAAGGACGAGATCTTCGACATGATCCGACCTGAACATCCCTCCAGGATCACCCTCCAGGACCTGGTGAGGAGCGGCCACGGCCACACTGCGGTCTCCATACTGCTGGAGCTGCACGGCTTCTGGGCTTACGAGAACAGGGAGGCGCTGGCAGCTGCTGGCGACCACAGCTGACAGATGCACTTCGGCGACAAGAAGTTCGATATACCCTCATTGTGAGAGCTCCGCAGCTTGGAATGTCCCCTACTCTGGATACGTTTGAGACACGATTATAAGGTGTTTAGTCAACTTGATTTTTTGAAAGGAAATGTATAAGAATGTAAAGAAAAGGAGACGATAAATAGGTATTCCTCAATCTGAGAGTCCCCTACCCTGTCGATGGAAATTAGTTAGGTAATTTCGCTATTATGGCGAATTTAAGTGGCCATCTGATTGTCACCTTTAAATACATATTTAAATCTGACAGGGGAGGGGACCGGAAGAGGAATGACAATTAATTAAAATATATGATGTAGAAATTAATGAAAATGCTGTTTTTGGTTAAACCATTTATTGATGAAACAATATTATAATATTAAACATTGTAAATAACATTTGTGTGGTTTGTAATGTAAAATTATTTTGTACTCAAATATACGTATTTTCACTAAAGCTGTCTGTTTCATTTTACAAAGAAACAAAAAATGCCATAGAATATAATCTATAAAAAAAATGTGCAAATATAACAGTATTAAAAAAATATTAAATTCGATATATGCTTGTATAAACCTCCTAATCTAAAATTGATATTAAAATTTTATTGCACTCTTATTGCATCTAACATATGAAAAAAAAATATTAAATGTCTCAAAACAACTACAAATATATATATTTCATTTGTTTAAATAATATTAAAATACAATTTTATTAATACTAAATATACTCTGGAATAAAATATTAAAAATATTGCTTCAATCTTTAGTCCATTAAAAAAAATAAAAGCAACTTAACTTGTGTTTAGAAAAATAATAAAAAAAAGACGTATCTCTACAGAACTACAGATACATTAACAAGAAAAGGGTTAAAAATATTGTGCACAATATTTCTATATTCCTATATATTTAAAATAACAATATAAAATATAAATTTATATGAAAATAGTTATAAATAAACTTATTCTAAGAAACTGTTTTATTGTCTTTTATAATTGATTATATTTCAAATTATTTAAATCACGTAAACAATCACATTACTATTAAAAACTGCGGTTTTACTATGACTTGTGGTATTTTAAGGTAATACAATATAATTTTAAAATCCATATTTAAAAGAGATATTGATTTTTTGTTCGTTACTAAAAAAGTCGAAAATTATTGGTTCGATATAAAAAAAAATTTCAATTTTTTATTCTAATGAGATAGATAAATTAACACAGTCATATATATACATATAAAGAGGAAAGATTTGTATTTTTGGATTTGTATATGTATATATAAACTTTTTCCAATATTAAAAAAATTATCACTTAGTAACATAGACTATATTGTTTTATTTTTTAATTCCAAGCGAACAAAGACGCGAGCAACAGCCAGTAAGATATATTTTTTACTAGATTTTAAATACCAAAGGCAAAATCACGGGCTAGTATTTTATGATTAAGAAAATTTACCGTAAAATGTTTAAGATTTGATTTGAAATTTGAAAAACCTTGAAAAACATGTTTTTTAACATAACATAAAAGTTTTTTTAAACAGATTCCTGTGCACTTTTATATTCATAAACGCTGCCTCTTTGTAAAAATTCGCTGTACAGATTGTCTGTCTGCGTGTCTGTGTTGTGTTCAGTCGGTACACCGTAGCCCCCACCTCCGGGGGAATTCATTATATATTTATCCTTGAATAAAAAAAAATTAGCTAGTAGAAGTTAAGAGAGTTTCACGCAATTTTAATTGTGAATTCCAAAAAAGTAAAAAAAGATTTACTAAAAAATTAACGATTTTTCAATATTTTTTTTTAATAAAAAAAAACTTTTTTCGGTAATAAATTGTTAATTGAAAATAAAATTACTAAACTATATCAAATATTTCATTTTATTAATCTTACTGATATTATAAATATAAAAGTTTAGATGGATGTTTGTAAGTTTGTCGCCTAAACTAAACGGATTTCAACGAAATTTGGTATAGATGTAGAGGATAGTCTGAAAAAATACATAGGCTACTTGCATATGTTTTTTATTACTTCCATGCGGATAAAATCGCGGGCAATAGCTAGTACTAATACAAATGCAAAAGTTAAGATGGATGGATGGATGTTAGAGCCTGTAGCCTAAATTGAACGAATTTCGATGAAATTTGGTACAGATGTAGAGCATAGTCTCAAAGAACACTTACTTTTTTAATTACACACGGAAGTAGTCACTGGCTAAAGCTAGTTAAAAAAAAAACAGAAAAACCTAAAGTTCTTAAATACTTACTCCGGGATAAGCTTCAATAGAGGCCTTCCCTCCCAAATTTATAAGTCTCCCGTCTGCCCTCTGCAGCAAGTTGAGTCCCCTCTCCCCGGCCTCCCCTCCTATCATAAATACAATACGAGTAGTACACTTTCCCTAGACCTAATCTAGGTCATCATAACACCTATAGCATTGTTGGATTATTCCCAACCGTCACTTCTGTCCCCTGTGTCTGAACAAAAAGTTTCATCCGTCCCACCTTTTGCGACGAGGGGACGGTTGGAACTTATTTAATAACGGTTCCTTTCACCTTATTGGTGATAGTGGGACTAAAAGGTGGGACGTATGAAACTTATCACGTGGGGACAGCGGGGTGACGGTTGGGAATAATCCACATTGTTAATGCATTTTTAATACTAGTAGATTTTTGTTAATTTACTAATATTTCCTTTAACCATTCCAATTAAGCTATTATAATAAAGCGTAAACACACACTTCTTTGTTGCCTAAGATGTCAGCAATTACAGCATATTTTTTAATGATTCTTTTTTTAACTTACGTCTCGCTTTAGGCTATACATTTTCACGACATTAAACTAAGGGGGGTAAGTATTTTTGATAAAAACCCTAATGTGGGAAAGAGACCATTAGTTGCTGCCAACATCAAGGAAGCCTTGTCATCATGTCATGTCATTTTGACATTTGTTATTGATAATTAGACAAATGTAAACAATAAAAAAAACATAATTTCATGCGGATGAAGCACGGGAACTACTCAATACTAGTTTAAAAGTTTCAAATACAAACCATTCATCCCGTAAGGTTGGAAAGCTCTACGTTCCGTCAACACTGAGAGCTGCACCGCACGGCGGAACACCAGCTCGCGGGTCACCCCGTCACCTCCCCGCCATTTACCTGACATGGTAACAATCTTACTAATATTATAAATGCGAAAGTTTAGATGGATGGATGTTTGTTAGCGTTTGTAGCTTGAATGGCTGAACGGATATCCATGAAATTTGGCACAGGTTTAGAGCATAGTCTGGAAGAACACATAGGCTACTTTTTATCCCGGGAATAGTTACGGTTCCCGTGGGATTCATTAATTTAGTTTTATAATGTTTACTCGATCATTCTGCAACGGTTCAACATATCTTATTGAAATTTGGCACAGATATAACACAAAGTCTGGAGTACACATGGGCTAAGCTTCATCCCCGAGAAATGTCCGGTTCCCGAGGGATAAGTAGCTTATTGTAATTTATATAATTCGTATGTTTTCAAATACCACGCGGACGAAGTCGCGGGCAACAGCTCGTAATATCTAATTGCATGATTTATAACTCGGCTCAACCTCACGTGGAAACTTTCGGCGTAGGCAGTGCCTACTAGGCACCGATCAGTTTCAAACCCGTAGGAGGTCCTTCAGGGTGTGGTTGCCGGCTTGTTTCGCTATCGCGTCGCGACGGTTTGAAACTGGCCGGTGCCTAGTAGGCACTGCCTACACCGAAAGTTCCCACGTGAGGTTTAGCCGTGTTATAAATCATATAGTATAATATCTCACGAAAGTTTTAATAAATCAATATCTAATTGCTGTGATTTTTTAGTGAACGGAGGCTCAGTGGTTCAACCACTTGACTTGTAATCTACAGGTCTTGGGTTCGAATCCCGCTGCACCAAAGTTTACCAATTACACGATACAGTTTATTATGCAAATATAATGTACAGTAGAACCTCGATAAGTTAAAGTCCAAGGCAAACACGAAATATTTTAAGTTATAGAGGTTTTGGGCTCTGATGGGAAGGGAACATATTATTTTTAGAAGTTATAGAGGTTTTTAAGTTACCGAGGTTCTACTGTGTCACAACTATAGTTAGTTGGCATATCACGCCCCCGCGAATAAACAATACCTAATCGTCCCACTCGCGTTAAAGACG